GTAAATACCCCTTTTTCAAATTGGTTTGAAGCCCAATTAGTAAGATATTTCTCATCAAGGCACCACTTTTTCCACTTAATAAAATTTAGTCCTTGATACAAATTTATTTGTGCAGCCCATGTCTTCTTTAATTTAATTCAAGTCTTTCAATTTCCAAAGTGTAGAGTTTGATACCTAAACTTTCCATCCAATGACCAATTGATAATTCTTTCCTTTCCAATTGCTTTGAAACCTATCAAATATTGAAATAAACAAAAATTAACGAAGTGAAGTAAAATTTAATACTTCGACGACATAAAAGCTTACGAATATGGCCTAGATAAGTTCACAAAATGCACTTATCACTTATTGCAAATGAATGATTTAATGTGTCGTTGAAAAGGCTGCCCCACTCAATCAATTGGTCATGTCAAGTCTTACACCGGCTTCAGATTCATTACAACATGGCCTAGGAATGATTGATTAATACTTATGACAAAAAAACCTAGCTGCATGAATGAAGCCACATGTACCTTCATTCAACGGCTTACATTCACCATCTCCTATTATAAAAGACCACAAGTAGCCCTAAGGGTAATGCAAGTTTACATTCTCACATCATAGTAATACCACTATTATTAATATGTTCTACATTGTATCCCCAATTCCGAAGCCCTTTTTACTTTGATAAATTGGTCATAATTCTGCTCCACATCCAATTATATATTCTATCATATTGACTTGATCGTCGAGTGCTTATGGTCTCCTCTCATACCGCTAGAGTTTAGCTGTATGTCATAACAATTTGTCCAAATGTGCAGGACTACAGCTTACAGAAACGCTATAGGTGTTGGAATATGTTGACCACATCACCTCTACAAAAGAGAGGTCAACAAAAACAACATAGCATTGAACAAAATTTTTCAGCTTAAATTGGTGAAACAATCAAAACAATATTCACAAACTAACAAACACTTTAGGTGGGGATTAAAACTAAATTTTTAGTAGATTATATTGAAATTTTTAAAATGTGTGGTTGAAAATTTGTGGGACCCATGAAAGATGTGGTTAATATTGATTGTTTGACTTTGACTTAAATTAAAATTAGATTTTAATCTGAAACAAACATTGATGAAAATTTGAGTTTGATAAGAAAAATTGGGTAATTGATATTCGGACAACAATTTTTTTAAAAATTTTATATATATGAATACAATTATATTTTCACAACTTCACAATATCACGTGCACCGTACGTGTTACAAACTAGTATACAAAAAAATTATAGTAAAAGAATCTACAATAATTTGTTTTCTTTGAAAAAGGAAAAACAGAAACAATTTCAATGCAAGGAGATAACCATTAAAAATTGTGTAATCCAATATATCTCTAATAGAGATCATTCCCATATGATGTGTTAGGTGACGTGGGACGAAATTATGAAACTCACTTGATTGAGCTTATTACATAGGGAGTGTTTGATGGATATTATTAATAAAAGAATGTATTTTAAATTGTGATACGATGAAAAATATGTGATAAAAAGTAAGGAAAAGTTATTGATGTGATAAAAAATATTATTTTATTGAAAAATGTATGGTTGAAAATGAGTATTGAAATAATATATTTTGAATGAAAAATTTTCAACCACACATTTTATCGACTTTTATAAAATTTTGCGAAAAAATTATTAAACAACCCTTTAATGTATGTCCTTGAAATTTGTCAGGAGAAGACATAAAAGCGTAGCAAACTTTTAATATTCAATAACAGCCACGAGAGTCCAATTTTCAAATAATATATCTTAAATTCTTTTCAACTCATGAATCTTCTTTCAGAACAAACTAAGTTTAAAATCATGATATGTGAATTTGATATAATAAAGAGAAATGTACAATAAACGTTAAAACATTTTCAGAATAAAGATTGATCTGTCTCCAGTAGGATCGGTTTGGAAGTGGAGATGGTACAAGATTCGTGGTATATTGCTTGTACTAAGTGAAGAAAAGAATTTTTGCGCAAAAAAATGGACGACGCAAAGAACAATTTGCATGCTAGAGTTTCACACAGTGAGACCGAGATGGTCGAAAGCAGTGAACAATTGCTCATTATACAATTTTGCGCAAGCAAAACTGAAAAAGTGCATGCAACTCCGATGGTCATATCATCGAAAGGATTTGCTGAAGGACCTACAAGTTTAGGTAAATATTCAATGCATTCTCAGACGGAGAAGTCATTCTTGGAGGAGAAATTATGCGTTTTGGGTTCTGCTTGCTTGCTGATTAGAACTTCTAAGAGGTCCAAATGAATTAAACCTGAGTATGTTAAAAAAAAAAAAGTATAACTGTTGGGAATTTAGAGTAGAAATTATTTTCCACAATACAGAATAACATATATATAAAGTACAAAAGAAACCATAGAAAACAAAAGCAGTAAAACCGAGAGCTACTTCCCTTCTGCCGGCTGAATATAGGCTCAGGAACAGCCATTCCAATGCACTGCAAATCGCTATCCAGAGAGAGTGACGTAATGGTCCAGAACCACACAATACTTGACTTGGGTTATCGATCAAAAGATCTATCAAGAACAACCAAGTTCAAGCCACCAATCGGACCTAAGCCCAACGAGAAACCAACATCACTCAGTCGCTATTTCAGACCTAAGTACACACAAGGTTCTTCTCAACAACTGGCTAAGGAAAACAGTGAACCCGGATAAAGAAAGAGAGACGAACCAACAGAGAGAACAGAGAAGACAATCTTAAGGAAGGAATCGAATAAAAACCAAAGGTCAAAGCCCAAAGAAATAATCTCATCCAAGAATAAATCTCAGCCGTCGATCTTCATCCAAGGGCCATAAATAATTCTAAAGTAGCACAATCCAAATGATCACTTAGCTACCAATAAGTGGATGCCCCTTAAGCAACATAAGTAAAGAATAAGCAATAATACAAATGTCACAAATAGCACTAGCCCAATAATATTAGTGAACCACTAAAAGCCCACAATAACATTGACAAGAACGACGTTTCGAAAATATATGACTCGTACTCCAAGTTTTTTAAATTTTGTAAGTGTCGTAGTTATCGAAATTAATACAATCAATTATGCCCATCCATTTCCATGTAAGACACGGAAACTGGAAAATGGCATTAATGTGTTTCTTCATTCCTTCACTTTCGGCCTCCTAAAACTTGTTTTCTTACATGCTATATTAACAAAGTCTATATTTTGTCATACCAAGGTCGCACTTGTGTTTCGCGGGGCTTGAGGCGAATTTCAAAATTTAGGCTCCTAAATCGTAGCAACTAATCAATTTTTTCATTTATAAGAGTTTTATAGAACTAAATTTGTTAACTTAGAATCAACGATAAAATAACAAAATGAAATATTCAAAAAATATATATTACAATCAAATAACAATGCGAAAATATTTTAAATGATTGTTCAAATACAACTCGTCTTGCGATCTTAGAGACAAAAAATATTAATCAATTTTGAATAGTCCAGTTATTCAACCGTTTCTTTTTCAATAAATAACATAGCCAATTCATTCAATATTTGCCGTGACAAAGTTGATCGAAGATAAATCTTGATTAATTTCAAGTTGGAGAACTTCTTTCTACTGATGTAACTACAATTAGTATGGTATTTAACTTGCTTGTTTGGCATTCAGTTGATTTCCTAAATATTTCATTCTAAAAGTACAAAACCAAATCAAGATTTTTGTTTCTATTCTACAATATGGTTATAAGATATCTATTAAGCCAATTTTGTGGGGAAAAATGGAAAGTGTCCAAACAATCTATTAACAGCAAAGGAAAAAAAATAAAAATAATCAGTGATTATCAATATTTCTAATTTAGCTATGGTGAGAGAAAATTTCCTTCCATTATAGGTGTATGGTAGATACACTTCGCACTCACAATGAATTCAACTTCACAAAAAATAGGAAATAAACTTCTTATTTACAAAAATGGTTAAATTTTACATACTTTCTCACTTTCCACAAGGTTCACAGCCTTTAGAGAAAAAAATGTTATTGCAATAACGATAACGATATATTATCTAATGTCATAAATAATTTCATAATGTAATAGTAAAATGAAAAAAATTAAATCACATCATATTTAACCATATATTGCACCCAATTACCCTGTAGAATGCACAAATTCATATTAATTAATAACGGATTATAGATCGAGAAAAAAATTCAATCCCACACACAAATCAATGATCTAATCAACATGTAACTAAAAAAATGTAATTGAATTTAGAGACAATTATATGGTAATCAATTTAAATATATAAAATCTATCGGTCAATGCAATTAAAAAGAAACTAGGGTTAATAAACGATTAGAACAGCAAAGATGTGTGTAACGATGAATAAATATATATCGAGGGGCTGTTACACAATGGAATGCGTATTCCTAATCTAGACACTAACTCTATGATTTACGATATGATTGTTGAAGAAACCACATTGTTTGGAAAAATTGAACAAAGATGAACGAGTATAAACGACAGTGAGTTTTTAAAATAAAGAAGGAAGCAAAAAAATTTTGGGCCCCTTAAAGAGCTGGGCCTAAGGTAACATCCTCTTGAACCTCTCCTTCGAATACAAGCTGTGGAAATTACATAAAATTAAGCATTTTCTTTCACATTTTTAAAAATTAGGTTTTCACCTTTTTTTTTTCATTTATCAGGTTTTTTTATCTTTAAAAAATTTTTTTTTTATCATTTTAATTAAATAATTATTCCTTTAAAACCTTAATTTATCAATTCATCCCCCTCCCTACACCCCCTCCACATACGATAATTTCTCTCTCTCTCTCTCTCTCTCTCTCTCTCTCTCTCTCGATTCTCTCCCCCTCCCCTTCTCCCCCTCCCTGCCAGAGCTTCTCATCCCTGCCGATTCACAGCAGCGTTCGACGCTTCTGTGAACACTGCTGTGAATCACAACAACGTCGACGCTGTTGTGGTTCTAAGGGGTTGGGGTTTTTTTGTTCGGTACAGCAGCTATGTTGTCGGCGGTGATAGGGGTTTTTTTGTTGGGCACGGCAACTATGTTGTTAGGTACAGTATGCTGTTGTGTTGTTGACGGTGATAGGGTGGGCGTGGATCTGGTAGCTGCGACGGGGTGGAGGTGGTGTCGATGGTGCTGTGTGGATTTGCTGTGGCTGTGGCTGTGGACAGATTTGCTGTGGGCGTGGCTGATGGGTGGGTGGATTTGCTGTGGGTGTGGGAAGCTGTGTGGTGGTGCGGGCTGAGATGGGACGGTTGTTTTTTGTTATTATTATGGCGGTAGTTGTGGCGATGTTGTGATGTGATGACGATGGTGGTGTTGTTCAGGTGGCAACAGTGGTGGTTGGTGGTGTCATTGTTGGTGGATGTTTTAGGGATTAGGGTCGGCAGCGAATGGGACGAAGTATATGTGACCAACTATTTGGTCGTTCTATAACCTGCGACAAAGTATTGTTGGTGTATTGGGATTGGAGGACGGGTGCGGGGATGGGTTGAAGTATCTGTGACCATCTATTTGGTCGATCCGTGACCTCAAATTATTTCGTGACCTACAAAATTTTTGATCTGTGACCGGAGAACAGTCGTCGGAGTGCTCGCCGGTCACATGAGTAGTCGCTTGAAGGGAAGGTGGGGTGGGATGGATTAATTATATTATATTACAGTTAAATATTCAATTGAATATAATAATTGTCAAATATAATTAATTAATTCATGAAAAACCTGATTTTTGCAATTTTAAATTTTGGGGCCTGATTNGGGCCTGATTTTTGATTTTGAGATATATAGATAAAGCCTGAATTGTGAATTTTTCCCATACAAGCTTCTATAATTTTTCAGTATTAGTTGTCTTCATGTTCTCACAATTTTGAGAACATTATAAACGGTTTGATTGTATCCTCAAAGCCTATCTACATTTTCGTGAGGCTCACAAAGTTGATGATGACAAATAATGTTACATTCAACACCTTGTTATTGCTCTAACTCATCTTTTTTTTTTTAATACCCAGATGTTTATCTTCGACGACTAATCATGTGGTCTACGCCTTGGCCACTCAAGACGCAGACCAGGTAAACTACGGGATGTGCCCCAAATTGGTCAAGGTCCAAGAGCCCCATCCACTGATATGCGAAATTGCCTAGTGATGTTGCAATAATTTTTGTTGGAACATTTATGTACATCGCAACACATAAGAAAATCTTGTTGAATGGGAATAATTATTTCGGCTGGATGTCCAGAAAGGGAAATAGAACCATTCACTAATGGTCGGAGAGATTATATAAGTTTTTAAGTTGGTGCAAGAAAAAGATGAATCTACACATAGCAGAGAGCTACTTACCCACCGCAGTTATTTTTTATTTTATTTATTTATTTTTCTGGTCTTTGAATCTGCATCTCCATAGTGTATATGCTTTATGTGGTGTGATATATGTGATAAGAAATAGTTTTCTTGGCATTGCTATAGCGTATTGCTACCCGTTGTCTTGGAATTAAAATGTGAACTTTCTTCATTGTCAATTGTTATTTAACTATGTCACTTGAAACTTGTGAACTTAGAGTTGTATTTTTCATCCATTGCATGATAATCTGATTTATAGATTATAATTATTGGATATTCAGTTATTTAACAGCATTCTGTGGCATTCAAAAAATTCTAACTCCTAGTTCAGTGCCATGTACTTTCTATTTTAAAACGTTTATGTATTACTCACTAATATTCCTACTGCTTTAATTTGGAATGTCAACATGTTGTATATCTAAGTTGATCTGCTTTTGGATTTTCCCTTGTCAATTTGTTCGAATGTTCTAAGTTCTCTTTCAAGATAATAATTTTATGAGTTTTTGCAGGTGAATACATACGACCTAGGTTAAATTGTGTGATTTTGGAAGTGCCAAAGTTTTGGTATGTGAAATGCTTTTATAAAGATATAGTTTCTTTCATGCAAGTAGGATGCTTGACAAGTTGATTCCCTGATTCTTGGCAGGTTTTAAAGGAGAGCCCAATATCTCTTATATCTACTCTAGGTATTATAAAGTACCTGAGCTTATTTTTGGAGCGACAGAGTACACTACAGCCATTGACATTTGGTCCATTGGCTGTGTGCTCGCTGAGCTAATTCTGGGACAGGTAGATGGCTGATTTTTCTTATTGCACTTAATAGGTCCTTTACATGGCCATAAAAGGGTTGGATAGTTCGGGTTACTATTGGGTTTGCTTTTCAGCCTTTGTTTCCTGGCGAGAGTGGAGTAGACCAGCTTGTTGAGATTATTAAGGTACTTTCTTGCAGATGCACTTTCTGTTTTATTTTAATGTTTTTCTGCTTTTCTGTATTGTTTGTTTGTTGTTTCCATTCTCTCTCTCTCTCTCTCTCCCTCTCCTTTTTTTTTTTAAACGCGGCACTGTTCACGCGAACAGTAGCGGGAAATTTTTTTTTTTTTTAAAAAAACGTGGTACAGTTCACGTGAATAGTACCAAATTTTTTTTTTTTTTTTTTAGCACCGTACTGTTCACGTGACACTACAAAAAAAAAGGGTTCCAGGGACCAACAAATTTGGTCGCTAAAGGNGCCTGTTTGACTGAAGAAGAGAAGGGCTTTGTATATATGCATACACTTCTGTGAAAAAAATCATGTTTTTAGTAGTTGCAACTAGAAAGATGATTTATTGGTTGATGGAGTGACCGATGGTGTGTTTCAATTGATATTCTGGCATATTTCAAATTAAATCTCATATAATGTTTGCTTGTGAACATTAATTTGGACAGGACTTCAAGGTTTGTTTAAATGATCATCTGTATATATCTTTTAGTGAACAGATTCAAACTTGTTTTTGCAGTCGTAATAAAAAAGATGGTATAGTCTTTGATGGAAGTTGAAGACAGAATTTAAATGTTAAACGGCTCTTTTTTAATTGATTAAGCTTTTAATATGACCTGTTAACTATGGTTAAACTATGGTTAACGTGGAGGGACCTATGGTGCGTTACTATTTTATAAGTTCTCCCCTTATAGACAAACTATATTTTTCAGGTTTTGGGTACACCAACAAGGGAAGAAATAAAATGCATGAATCCTAACTATACTGAGTTCAAATTCCCACAAATCAAAGCTCATCCGTGGCACAAGGTACATGTAATTTTAGGCTTTCATGCTAAATGTATCTTCCTCTTTGTTCAACATTTTCGGTGCAAAGTGGCTAAAAGGACTCATGTAACTGCCTTCATTTGCCCTATTATTCTTTGCTTCGCTTTGCTTTGCATCAGATATTCCATAAATGCATGCCTCCTGAAGCTATTGATCTTGTTTCGAGACTGCTGCAGTACTCTCCTAATTTACGTTGCACAGCTGTATTCTTCTTTTTTCTTTCACAGAATTCTGTCTATGCCCTTTATTTCAGCAAGTTTTTTGTTGTCTTGCTCCACCACTGAGATTGGATTAGGTTGATGACAACTTGATTATTTTATGCGAAAAATATATTTATTTTGTTGAACAGTTTGTGTTGCCTACTCCTCTCTGTCTATCGTTTCCAGGAATGAATTTATGCACATGATTAAAATGGATGGAGTGTGGTCATTTATATTGTTGGATTATTGACATTTTATGCCTCGTTTAGTAGGAACATTCCTCCCACGCTGCAATCACCCTTCTTTCTCCACGTCATTTGCACTGTAACTTGCAAATTGGATTCTTTTTCCATGCAGCTGGATGCCTGGACTCATCCCTATTTCAATGAGCTACGTGATCCAAACAGGCAAACACGCGCCTCCCAAATGGACGTTTCCTTCCTCCATTGTTCAATTTTAAACCTTATGGTATGATGTTTTGGATGAAATTACCTCACATTGTTTACCCCATGTTGGATATGGGCTGCCTCACTATTCTCTGTCTTTGGGCCTCTGTAGTTTGTTAGCCTGTTTTGTTATAAGACTTGGGCTTGTGTGCTGTGTTTGGGCCAATCGGGTTGCTGCCTTTTAAGTTGGTATAATCCTGGCTCTTCACATGTCACATTATGGACCGTTGGATGGAGGAGATGGATGGTTGCCTTTAAACCGTGTTCTGGACTCTTCTATTGGTATCGATTCATTCTCTTTGGCTAGGGTTTTCTCTCTTCCTCTCTCTCAAGTGGTTGTCTCTGTAATTTGATTCTTGAGATCCTTAGTGTGATCTGTAATATCTTAGTGATATTTTCGAGTGTATCTAGTATATACTAGTGAGAGGAAATCTGTATTTGTTAGAGGCTAGAGAGAACTGTGGATTCGAGCATAATCTACTGCGTAGATGCTCAAAAGGTGAGTAGGCTTTTAGCTGAACATCCGAGCTCCCAAAGGGGGCGAAAAATCTTTGTATTGTTATTTTGTTTCTGCGATTTTACATTCTTGAGTTTTCTTGTTACGAATAACTGATTCCAGACCAACAAGTGGTATCAGAGCATCCTTCAAAATGGGATTAGGGTTTCTTGTAAAATCATTTTTCCGTTACATATAGATTTGCTTGTTTTGGGGGAAAAACTAGTTAAAACTTTGGTTTTCTGAAATTGTGTGTTTCATTTGCTCTTCGATCCAATTCTTAATTGGATTCCTACTTGAAAATCCTTTGATCTGTACAACTGACTTTTCAAATGCTCTTGTTTTGTGTTTTTCTGAGTGAAAAACGTTTTAGGGGTTCTGGATTCTTGAGATCTTGTTCTTTTTACTTGGATATTGACTTTTTTGGCTATAACTCGTTACTAAGTAGAAGTTCTGTGTAAACTCGTTCTGAGTTACTATGTGTCACGACCCGTCCCAAGTCATCTTAATAGACTTGACACGTGTCGTGTTCCGATGGTAGATTCCAACTAAGTGCCGGACCTACCAGCAAGGCGACTATGACTTGTACTAACTGTGACACACTTTTATAAAAATTTTGACAGAGTTTCCCCAATAAT